AGCATAGTGGCTAAGGCACTTGACTGCTAACCAGAAGGCAGGCTGTTCAAACCCACCAGCCACTCCTCGGAAGGAAGGTTGGGCAATCCTACTTCCGTAGTGATACTGCCTCGGAAACCCAAGGAGGGGTCGCAATGAGTCGGGGCCGACTCGACGGCAAACAACAACAACAACAACATAGTTACCTTAAGTGAATCACAGACTTCAAATTCCTCCATTGGTAGTCTGCCACTCTCTTGTACTTAGTGTAAGTTCTAGAGCACTGGAGAGTTTTTCTCATATTCTTGCTGTAGCGTTGGCTGTCACCAGGCTCTGTGTACTTCCATCATAGTGGATGTTTAATATCTACACTTTTGTCTTCCTCAGAAAGAGACTGTTGTTGCTTGTTACTGAGTGCATGTCTCATGGTGCATGCAGGGTGTGGGGGGTTCTTGGTGTTCCTCTTCCAGTCTCTGTTTTAGGCATTGATTCAATGGAAACTGGTACTGATGCACCTGAATTTCAGGGGCAAGACTTTCTCAGCCTTCCTTTTTCATCAGTGGCAAATAACCCTAACTTCTACTCAGTGCACCATCTAGAGCTCAAGGGGGTTTCCTGCCCTCTCTCTGTGGAAGCTAAACTCTGCTTAATGTCAGTGCAAGGACCTGCATTTGAACAAATTTCCAGTTACTCCCCTCCAGTGACACCAAACAAAATGTAAACACATAATAAGTGTTCACTAAATGTTTAAGGAATGAATAAATGGACCAAATATGACAAGGAGAATCTTGGTACATGAATAGACTGAGAAATTGGAAGGAAATTATTTTGTATAGAAATTGTTGAGTTTGGTTTTAGAAATGTTGCATTTTAGGTGACATCAGTATTCTAAGTTGAAGATGTACAAGATTCTTCCTTTGGCAAGATGCCTGTACAGATTTTAGACTCATCACCATAAAGTTGTTGATTGGAAATAGATGATCCCTGATGGAAAGAATATCATGTGAGGGTTCATAGACAAACACTTCCAAACAATTTCAGGTGGTTTTGGTTGTCATAAAGGAGCATTGGTGGTGCAGTGGTTAAGCACTTGGCTGCTAACTGCAAGGTCAGTGGTTCAACCTACCAGCCTCTCCATGGGAGAAAGATAAGATAGTCTGCTTCCATAAAGATCTATGCCATATGGGGAATTCTGCTCTGTCCCTAGAGTCACTATGTCAGAATTGACTTGAAAGCAACAAGTGTGGTTTTGGGTTTAGTTGTCACTACAATTTTTTAAGACAAATATGAAAAGAATTAGAATGATAGAAGCATTATGCATTTGCAAGCATGGGAAACATAGATATATTTAAATGCTTTGGAACAGTAATGATAATGTAAATTTATTTAGATAACATAATTATGCCCAAATCATTTATTGTGAAAAAAATGAAAAACTTTACTAATGAAAAACTAAATGCATCATAATCATATAAATTTGTGAAAACTCCAAAGGAGCTAAGTGCTTCTTTCATATAAAGTAGACTATTTGGATTATTAATATATTGTGACTTTCAGTTTATAATTGGACAGTGATTGTGTTTTTTCTATTACTGAACTGTCACTGACAGATTAATTGCTATCAGTTTAGTCTCCAAGTCTGTTTTCTCACAGATTATTTTAACCACCTAAAAAAATAAGAAAGTATTTAATTTCTTAGACAGAAATGCTTATCCTTTCAGAACAAAGTATTTGTCCTAAAGTAGGCTATATATTTTATTTAATACAGAAGGATATCTTTATGGCTATAATCACTGAATAACCATTTTGAATTAACTATATATGTTGTTGTTGTTATTGTTGTTGTTATGTGTCATCGAGTCGGACCTGACTCATAGCGACCTTTCCTTGGACTGCCGAAGCAGTATCCCTACGGAAGTAGATTGCCCAACCTTCCTTCTGAGGAGTGGTTTGAACCTCCAGCCTTCTGGTTAGCAGTCAGATGCCTTAGGCACTACACCACCAGAGCTCCCAACTATATATAGTACCTCTAATAAGTCTGCTATGAGTATGATAATGTCTTGGCCACCGCCAGCCACCTTGAGGGAGCAAGTAGTTGGATCTGTGGGCTTGGGACCATGGTTGCAGGGGACATCAAGCTCAGTTGGCATAATGTACTACACAAAAACATTGTTCTCCATCCTACTTTGCTGAGTAATGACTGGGATCTTAAAAGCTTGCAGGCAGCCATCTAGATGAAACTATGGGGCTCTCCTCATCCAGAGCAAAGAAGAATGAAGAAAACCAAAGACTCATGGAAACAATTAGTCCAAGCGACGGGTACACCATGGGATCCTCAGTCTGTGTGACCAAGAGACAAGAATTAGATTGTGCCTAGCTACCACTATCAACCACTTAGAAAGGGATCAGTGCAGGAGATCCTGGATAGAGTGTGAGTGAAATGTGGAACAAAATTCAAAATCATTAAAAAAAAAAAAAAAAAAAAGACCAGGTTTACTGGTCTAGTAGAGCCTAGTGAGACCCCCAAGACTATAGTCCCTAGTTACCCTTCAGGTCTGGAACTGAGCTCACTCCTGTGCCTTCTGGCCAAACAATAGACAGGTATATGGGGTGAACATTTACATCAGGTAGATACACTCCTCAGAGCTATCAATCATGGGAGAACAGAAGGGCAGTGTTTGCACAGGGAAACAGCTCAAGGGGGCAGGAATTCATAGGAAAGAAGGACATAGGAAAAAGATAACTATAGGGAGGAAGTGGGAAGAGAGTTGTTACATTGTGGGAATTGCAGTAAATGTCATGAAAGAAAATGTGTATGAACTGCTGTGTGGAAAATGAATTTGTTCTGTAAACTTTCACCCAAAACAAAATTAAAAAAAAAAAAAAGTCTGCCATGAGGTTGTAGTCCTTGTTTAATAATTGTAAGAAAATAATCAGAACAGGAATTCTTTTTTTTTTTTTTTTCCACCACATAGGGAATGTGGTATCCAGTTTTAATCTCGATTTTAAAATGATCCCATGGATTAACAGATACCATCTTTAAATTGTACATTTTCCCTCCTTTGCATTAAAAAAATATATATCTGTGGCATAAGAAATTAGAAAAACATATATAAATGTGTTGGTCAGACAAGTAAGTCATTCCTCAGACAAAAACTGTAGTCACATTAGAATAGCTTTCTACTTAGCTTTCAGCTGTCTTTGTCTTATTGATCAGAAATCTTGGTATTCTGAGCATTCTGTCAAGGAAGCAAGCTTTGTATGTACAGTCATCAGTTCTTCCATGCAGGTAAGGGGCTTGCTGGTGGTGAATGCAGTGCTCTGTAACAAAGACAGAAGATACGAAGGAAGAAAATAAATCTGTTTGCACCAGTGCCACAGCCACAGTTTATCATGTCCTCTCTGGCTGAGCATCAGTTGGCTGCAGACATGTCTATATAGTGTCATTTCAGGGGCTTTCAAGATTTTTTTTTTTTTTTTTGCTTATGCCAAGTTCACAGAAGTGCTTATGTTCTACTTAGAACAGGAACATTCATTCATTCATTATGACAGAAAAGGAACTCTTAGGCAGCCTATGTTTATACAGGAAGGAGATAGTTACAGAGTTTTTGTCCTGGGTCTTATTTTACACAAGGTGTGTTAAAAGACTGGAACGGAGCATAAAATAAATTTTCCCTTTCACCCTTAATTAAGAAAACAACATCCTTGGAGCTACTTCTTGAAGATTCTCTAGGAGAGGAATGGTTTTATTTCTTTTAAACAGTTACTGATCGTGCACTTTTGCTATGCCTCTTGCTGAAATTTGGGATAATGGAAGTCAATGGTTTCTTTTTATAGCTCAGTTACTTTCTAAAGAAATAGGCTATCTGCTTTAAGGAGTCTTTTCTTTAGTGTGTTCATATACCTTCCACCCATCAAAGGGGACATGATAAGCCAGTAACAAAGAACTGACCCAAAAGGTCAATCAAAATCTTTAGCAGTTTTCAGGGATGGAGTATCAAGCAGAACCAAACCCATTGCTGTCAAACTGATTCCTCATAGCAACCCTATAGAACAGAGTAGAACTGCCCCATAGGGTTTCCAAAGCTGTAAATCTTTATGGAAGCAGACCGCCACATCTTTCTCCTGTGGAGCAGCTGGTGGGTTCAAACTGTCAATCTTTCAGATGGCAGGTGACCGCTTAAACACTGTGCCACCAGGTCTTCTAGGGATGGAGTAGAGGGGTAGAAACTACAGTGTTCTGGAGGGCGTATCACCCATAATTGGACAATAAGAGAATGTGGCCGCCTCAACATGAGGCTATTCTCTTGGTATGATGAGAACAAAAGTGTGCTCATTTACAGAAATATGGCCAAATAATTGCTTACTTACTTCATCCTGCATCTCTGTATAGCTAACTAGCTATATTCAATCCTATTATTGAAATGGAAGCTAAGTTTAGCAAATTGTTTGGCTGTTTATGTTTAGTGCACAAAATTCTTAATTAACAAAGTAAAATACCACAATCCATTGTAAATCACTTTACTAAACTTTCAAGCTCATAAGGAATTGTGTATTGTCCAAAAGCTACTTTCAAACCCCTGCTGATCTGGCACTGATGCATCTATTCCCTTTGGAGCAGTGTGACATAAAGTAGAGAGAGCCATTAAAGGAACTTTGAGCCAGAATAGAAAAGGAGAGGCCATCTTGTCCATCCTTTTGCCTACAGGCGAAAACTCTCCATAGTACCAAAAATTTTCTTGAATCTTGCTGACAAAAATGCTCACCACGTGTAAATGACAAGTCGTAATCCCACTATTACAACTCAAGCAGATTGTTAACTGTTCAAGGCTTATTTATTGTGTTCCAGAGATGCTGCATATAGAAGACTGTACCAAATTGTCTTAATTCCCCTCTCCAGAAAGTCATTGTGTACAAGAACTATACTGAAATTATTATTAAGATAAAGAATGTTTGTATCCAGGGAATAAAGTTATCTTCATCATCTTATTAAATGTATTTTTGGTTTCCTTTCACTCTAGGTCTACCTTATGGTTGGGAAGAAGCTTACACAGCAGATGGAATCAAGTACTTCATCAAGTAAGTACAAGCATCTCAACCAAGTAAGTGATTTTCTTCACATCTGGAGAGAACCTGGAAATTGCAGAATAATCAGCAAAATCAAGCAACCCTCTTAGAGGTTACAAAAATTAGTAACAAGAAATGAAGCCTCACCATTTTCATTTATGTGATTTAAATGCTAATATCAGATATCATTTGTGGGGAAATCTAGATTTCAAGGGAAGCATCAAAACAAGAAAAGGATTATGATTTGAACTTAAATGCTGATTTCCCTGAAGATACAATAATGAAATATACAGGCTAGTTTCCTGACATCGTGAAATGTATATAATAGGAAAAATAGGCCGTTAATAACTAAAGAGATGAATGGGACAGTATAGGAACAAACATTGATGCAGTGGATTCTCAGAACAACCCTTTGAGGTATTTGTGCCTTGCCAATCTCCCCATGTTATAAATGAGAAAAATGAGAGCCTTGAATACTTGGCACAAAATCAACAACCATTGAACTACCAAGCTAGAACTAGAATCCAAGTATTTGGACTCCAAAGTCCTATGTACTATACTAAACCAAAAAAAAAAACAAACTCACTGCCATTGAGTCAATTCCAACTCACAGCGACACCCCCATTGGGTTTGCAAGGTGGTAAATCTTTACAAAATTAGACTGCCTCATCTTCCTTCCATGGAGCAGCTGGTGGGTTTGAACCACCAACCTTCTGGTTAGCAGTCAAATGCCTTAGGCACTGTGCCACCAGAGCTCCTTTCTACCACACTAGACGTCACTAATAGACACTTCTTTTTGAGAGCCTCAACAAGAATACATCTTCTGACTGCTGGACTGGTTAGCTTTACCCTGGACAAAGCAATCGGATATGTTTCCACTGTATTCAAGGCAACTTTTTTCATGTGAGCACAGAGGGGAATCCCAACAGACTCCAAAGTTGCTCCTTTCTATCCTTTCTAGCAAATTTTCCTTGGTATGCATTTTAGGAGGAAAAGGCCACGTGTGCTTGCTGTCCTAAAGCAATATCCAGATCTTGGATTCTCAAGCCCTGTGACTTTACTCAGGTTCCTACATCTCTCTTAACCTCAGTTTTCTCATCATAAAATAGGGAGAATATTACCAAAGTTATAGAGTTGTTAAATGTTAAGCACCTAGCACAGGACTTTGAACTCAGTAGATGCCCAGTAAATAATCATCATTAATTTGCCATGTGGAGAAATCATCATGGTGGAAAAAGCATGGAAAGTAATATGATTATTTAAAAGACTGTGAATTCACAAGCTTCATATTTAAAAATATTTAAGGGAAAAATCTGTCGAAGTGTATTCATGGTGTGTTTTTTTTTTCTCTGTGGTTTCTGTCAAAAAGTGATTAATAAGACAAAGGAGGGGTCGCTATGAGTCACATCCGACTTGACCGCACATAACAACAACAAAAGGCAAAGGTGTAGTTTGTGATATGTACAGGAGTAGGGAACTTTGTGAGCAGAGGATCCAGAAGTGCCATGCACAAGTTACATTTAGCACTATCGCTATTCATTCTATAATCATACCTCTTCTGGAGGGAAATTTTCACTCTAATATGCTTTATTAGCTGTGTACACACATTTAATCCTGGAAGGATTCAATTACTGTTCTGGAGGGATGGCAGGAAAACCAAAAACAATGTTCACATTCGTGTTGGATTTCTTTTTTTCTACTCTTTTTCATATTAAGTTGGCAGTTGATAAGAGAAAAGAAACGGGTGAAGCAAGTGAGCATTATTCAGCCCCAGCAATATCTGCTAGCTGTATTTTTAACTATGCTTTGTATCATTTAATCCTCTCAACATTGTGGATGTAGATGCTGTTAGTCATGTGTGCTAGGCTCTTATTAGGATGGTATTATGATAGTGGTGAACTGTCTTACCCTCAGCCATGCTTATCTTCTAAAAGGGCCCCAAGAGAAATGTATAATCAAAGGAAGGCAAACTAGCATTCATTAAATTAACAGATGTTCCAAGTTCAAAGGTCTTTGAAAAATGTCAACAAATGAGTCTGGACCCTATGGAGAGCTCCTTTACCTAAGCTTAGACATCTGTCAGTGGCTCCTAACCCAAAGCTGAATGTCAAAGCCTGACTAGTGCAGTTTAAGGGAAAGATATTTAAGGGCACTCTCACTGGCAACAAAGAAAAAGGGAGGAGCAAGAGATGGCTAGCCAGCGTGTGAGGCCAGCCAAAGAGTGAGTTTGTCCCAGTGCCTGGTACTCAGCTGGTTTAAGCCACCAAACCTGGCAGACTGGGACAGCAGTATCGGGATGTAAGGGATAAAGAGCATCCAAAGAGAAGGAGCTCTGGTAGCATAGTGGGCAGTTCAAACCCACCAGCCACTCCTTGAAAGGAAGGTTGGGCATTCCTACTTCCGTAGTGATACTGCCTCGGAAACCCAAGGAGGTGTCACTATGAGTCGGGGCCGACTCGATGGCAAACAACAACAACAACAAAGAGAAGAGAGAAAAAAGAAAGGCAGTCCTGGGGCTGCCCTGAAATCTAGCTCACAATCCCTATGGAAGGACTATAAAGAGACACTTTACTCTGTTCCAATATACCCCAAACAGTGTGTTTTAGAAGCCTGTCAGTTCTCTTCCCTGACCTTAAGCCTGACTCATCTTTCATAAGGAAAGCAGAAAAAGAGAGAAATCTCTTCTCCCAAAGACAGTAGTGGATCCTACCATTACAGTTGGAGAAACAGTAGTGTGGTGGTTAAGTTTGTATGTCAACTTGGCTGGGCAGCTGAATGTAGTTATTCCCCATGGTGAGATTGGAATCTAATGGAAAGCTGAGTAGCTGCTTTGGGTATGTGGTCTGTCTGCTTCCCATATATAAGAAACAGCTTTGGGAATGGTCTCCAGCTTATGGCACACTTGAACCCTGCATGTAGCCGTGTCATTGTTCAGCAGCCTGCCATGCTTTGCTGACCTTGGGACTTTCAACGGACTTGTATTAATGACCTGCCATGTGGTTTGGTAACATCAGGACTGTGCCTTTTTATTTGTTGACCTTGGGCTTGTTACCCTCCACAGCCAGTAGCTGCCTGAGTGAAGAGATGTCTCTAGCTTCTGTGGGCCAGGAGCAAGAGGCAGAGTTGCCCAAGGTTGAGGGACTTTCACACAGCCTCTAGAGCCTAGCACTTTGAACTTGGACTTAAAGCCTCCCAACTGTGAGAGAATAAACTCCTGTTTGTTCAAGCATCCCATTTGTGGTATATTCCTGTCAGAGTGGCACTAGGGAACCAGAACAAGTAGTAAAATTGAGAGTTGTCAACTGCAAAGCCACACACACCAGCACAACCATGCTACATCACCTCTACCCCTTACTTTAATGTGATGTGTCAAGAAAGGCATTTTAAACAGGTTTTGATTTAGGTAGAGCTCTATTCATTATAGAAGGCCTGGTGATATGGTGATTAAGCTTTCAGCTGCTAACTGAAAGGTCAGCGGTTCAAACTCACTAGCCACTCTTCAGGAGAAAGATGTGGCAGTCTGATTTCATAAAGATTGAAAATCCCATTGCCATCAAGTTAGTTCCAACTCATAGCAATGATTCTGTAAAGACTACAGCCTTGGAAACCCTAGGGGGCAGTTATGCTCCCCATAGATTCACAATGAGTCAGAACTGACTTAACAGCAACAGATTTGGTTTCTTTGGTTTTCTGTACATTACCCATTTTAAAATAGCAGTATAGATACTTGACTCTAAGAATAAGTATGGGTCTCCTGGAGATTAGAAAGGTCAAATAGTAACAATAAAAAATAATAATAATAATATGCATGAGTTAAATTTTTGTTAGAATTTAACCCCATCCAAGCACCAAGACTTATTTGAGGTTAATTATTCTTCATGGAAGTCGTACTCAGTAAATGTTCATACTTCCCTGCCATCGTATACTGAGGGTACTAAACAAAATCATTATGAGCATCAGTCATTCTATATACATAGTTCAGTGAGTTCTGCAAAATGATATTAAAGTGTATAGGTGAGAGGAGAGAGACAGTTCTCTACTAAGTCATTTCTTAGTTCTCTCAACATGCCTATCCATTCTCTCTTCACCATTCTCTTTCTCCTTGCGTTTCTTATTTGAAGAGGACAGAACATCAGATAGTCAGGCTAATTTGAAATGCTTGTAAATAGTCTCTAACTGTGGGTCTGTGAGGGTTCTTCTGTGAATTCTGGCATAGGTGGATTTGGTTACAGGAAGGCGATTCTGGTATAGGCAAAAGAAGGGCATGGACTCTGGATGCAGAGAAACTTAAGTTCAAATGCTGGTGCCTCCACAGAATGACTGAATGATCTTGGGTGTGTTTACTTAACCTCTCTAGGCTTTGCTTTCCTCATTTATATATAAAATGGAAAGAATATCAACACTTCATAGAGTTCCTGCCCAGAATGAATGAGTTTATGTACATAAAGAGTCTGGCACAGCTCCTGTTCATAAGGTTTTCACAGGCCAATTCTTTGAGAAATGGATGCCCCCTTCTTCTAATGGAAGCAGCAGTCCAAAATCAGATGATGTATTACACTGGTAAAATCTGCTGCAAAAGACCTCTTTCAAGTGCTAAGGAGCAGAGATGGCTCTTTGAAGACTAAGGTGTGACTAACCCAAGCCATGGTGTTTTCACTCACCTCGTATGCATGTGGAAACTGGACAATGAATAAGGAAGACTGAAGAAGAGTTGATGCTTTTGATTTGTGGTGTTGGTGAAGAATACTGAAAGTACCATGGACTGCTAAAAGAATTATCAAATCTGTCCTGGAAGAAGTGCAGCTGGAATGTTCCTTGGAAGTGAGAATGGCCACACTTGGTCTCACCTACTTTGGTCATGTTGTCAGAAGGGACCATTCCCTGTAGAAGGATATCATGCTTGGTAAGGTGGAGGGTCAGTGAAAAATGGCAAGGCCCTCAATGAGATGAATTGATACAGTGATTGCAACATTGGGCTCAGGTATAGCAAGGATTGTGAGGCTGGTGCAGGA